AAATAAGTAAGTAACAAAAAGTGAAAATGTTTAATTTCAAATAGATGCAATGTATGTTAATTTTTTTATTTTTATTTTTATTTCAAACACAAAATTTTAAAATTTTAAAACAAAAAAAAAGAAAATAAATTAGAAAAAAAATCTAGGAAAAGAAAAAAGGGATAGAAAGTATTTAAAAAAAGAAAAACACAAATAATAAATGAAAAATAAAAAATGAGCATGAATGCCCATTATGGTTTAAAAATTATGCGCAAATGCCCCCTCTTCGCCGGAAAATGATCAGAGGGGGCATAGGTGCAGCATTTTGAAACCACGGGGACTTTAGAAGTAAGTTTTGAAAATAGAGGGGGTATTGGTGCCAATTTTCCAAACCACAGGGAGCACCGGAGCTATTTGAAAAAAAAACCAGCGAGGCTACAGACGGTCGACCTCATGGACCGTTTCATGGATGGCGGTCGACCATTTCACAGTCCAATGAGGAGGTCTTGAAGAAAGGACGACGTGATACGCATGTTGCTGGTACGTTTGTTGGAGAAAATTGAAAGTATCAGCTTGTCGTATATTACCTATGATCTATGATCGTTTGACTGAGTGTAAGGGAGCTGAGGCTAGCATTCTTTTCTATTAAACATAAATCACATAATAATCTAATGTAACCGACTTTAACAGCAATGCAGTCAGCAAAGTAAAAGCGTTACAAGTTGTTTTATTGACTTGGTAGAAAGAAATAAAGATAACAATCTACACAGTTTAATTAGTCGCAATTAAAATTTGACTCTGAAAGTCCCGTATCATTTACTCCGTCTTCCCAAACAGCTTAAATCATGTTTTCCCCCACGCGGCCGTACATCCCCTCTCTTCCCTCTCCTTTCCAGCTGCTTCCATTGAAAATCTAACCCTAATCTCTCTCAACACACCCCGCAATTTGCTCCCTTTTCGTTCATTTCTCACTCTTAATCGGAGACTTGCAGAGATGGAGAGCCGCCGGCTTTGATTTGATCGCATACTTGAGAAGAACTGATCGCTGACAGGTATGTGCCGAATTTCTGTAGCTTTCCTTCTATTAGTGTAAATTTGCTGAAACATGAATTTGTCTGTGTTCGTGAACTGCGCAGTATGGAGATTTCACAGTTGTATAAAAGATTGAAAAATCTCCGGTCTGTCATTACCTTTTCTAGAAATGAGAGTCAAATTGTTGGGTTGGTAGGTGTATATAGATAGATTTAATGTATAACGGATCTATTGATCTTTGTTTAGCCAGTTGATGATGGTCTAGGGACTATATCATGGAGATATCTTAGACGCCGGTATTGTGGAAACTTTGGTGGAGCTTTATTAGTGGTTTTTTTTAACTTGTGTATTTGATCGGCGATACACTTTGACACTACTTGTTGTTTGGTGGAGTGTTTTCATATAGAATAATAATCAAGTTCTACATTGCCCTTATTTAGGGAATATTCTTCACCAAAAAATGTGGTACATCCGTACATGACCTGCGATAGCTTTCAAATGAAATGACATGAGGCGCTTTTCGTGTCCTTTTTTAATTTCTTATTTAGTATATTTCCGCTATAATCCTTAAAGTTGATTTACCAACATATGGAGCTAAATGAGCCATTACTTGCAATGTTTTTTGCTTCAGGCAAATAATGGACTAAATCAAATAGTGCATTAAATTTCCCTTGCTTTTTAGTACTTCGTATGAAGTTTTGGGTAGTAAATGCATGAAGGGTCTAACGGGAACCGTCTCTTTGTTTCTAGAGGTGTAGAGCAGTAAGACTCCTTATGTCTTGCTTCAGTTGCTTGACGCTCCAAACCTCAACGGAGTTGGGACTAAATTGGGCTTGTAGTTGGTTTTATACTAAATGCACATTCTTAGCATATGTGCTCAATATTTATAGGAGTGTAGGACAAAATTTTACCTTTTTTAACGTTTTAAAAAGGATTGCAAATATCTGCTGCAGCTTAATTCTACCCTGATTTTGTTGCTGTGCATGTACTGTGGTGGTATCATTCTTTGCAAAGGCGAATCGTGAAAGTTACATGACTTGATGAATCCTGAAGGTTCCCAATAATAATATATAGTACTTGGCTTATCATCAGTTTTAAATGAACATTTGGCCACCTGTGATTCTTTTCTTTCTTCCCTTAACAAGCTTAAGCCTTTTTTGTCCCGACTATATACCTGCCCTGCGTTCCAAGTTTTGAATCTAAGAATTCTGTCCGTATTCTTTAGCTTTGGTACACCCACTATTTGGCTTGTACATATTGAGGCCAAAACATCTTGGTTTTAGAGAATTGTGGCCATCATTTTTACATGGTAGAAAAGAATGGCCTTTTATTCAGAAGACGAACAACTTGAAGATTATCTTTTCAAGATTGTTTTGGTTGGCGAATCAGCAGTTGGCAAGTCAAATTTGCTCTCCAGATTTGCAAGGAATGAATTCTATCCGAATTCAAAATCAACAATTGGGGTGGAATTCCAGACACAGAAGATGAAAATAAACGGAAAGGAAATCAAAGCCCAAATATGGGATACGGCAGGCCAGGAACGGTTTAGGGCTGTCACATCTGCATACTACAGAGGCGCAGTTGGTGCTCTTCTGGTTTATGACATCAGCAGACGAAAGACTTTTGACAACGTTAGAAGGTGGCTTAATGAACTTCATAGTAAGCACTTCAATAAATTTTTTATTTTATTTTTTCCTTTTTTAAAACTTGAGGTCCCATCCCATATTTCTTAACATTTGACCAATGTGGGATGACCGTAGATCTTTACCATATTTCTTACATTTGATTTCTTTTGTTTGTTGGACTTGTCGAGCAGCTCACTCAGACATGAATGTAGTGACAATACTGGTTGGCAACAAATGTGATCTTAAGGATGCCCGGGAAGTGAGCACGGAAGAAGGCCAAGCCTTGGCAGAGAAAGAAAACCTCTTCTTCACAGAAACCTCTGCTTTCGACAATTCGAATGTGTATTCAGCTTTTGAAAGAGTAGTCAAAGAAATCTACGACATTTTGAGCCGGAAGGTTCTGGAATCTCAAGAGCTCCAGCAGAAGGAAGCTGGTGGCCGCCGCCTAGCAAATGGGAAACCTGTGGTTTTACAGAGCAATGGGAATTATAACGGAGACGAAGCGAAACGTGGGTGCTGTTGGGGTTAGTCATGAACATAGGTCTCCCCCCTTTCAAGTGCTTAAACCACTTGTGTACACAGTTTTGTCCCCATTGAAAACTTTAATTCCAACTACTGATTGGCTTTATTTTAGCAATGTATATTATTGTATTATCTCAACTGGAGAAACATTTTCTTGATGGCATTGGGAAGAGCACATGATGTTTCTGTAAAATGCAATGTTGTATTGCTTAATGCTCATTTTCTTGATCTCATTTCTGTAACATGATGTCAGAGTGTTCTGTTCATTTTTTTAAATGTGAATGTGGAGTTAAGAATGGGGTTTAGAATAGATGTGAGTGTTTGATTTCTATACGCTCTGTCCCACTATTTTTGGAACCCGAGGGATCGATATGAAAATTAAGAAAAAGATAAGATTGTTTGGTTAATATTTAATCCGTATGTTAAAAAAAAATATAGGACTGTATTATGTAAGATAGAGTATGAAGGAATGTGAATATGTAGTCTCTCGTGTTAGACAAAATAAAACATAGTTCCAAAATTACGAAAATATTGACCAAGCTATGAGGCCATTTGCCTTGTCTCATTGATAATAATACATCCTTAATGATACAAATATTCTAAATATAAAATTGTCTCATTGATAATAATACATCCTTGATGATACAAAAATTCTAAATATAAAATTACATTAACTGCTCTATAAAACAAGATATTTTTGGAAATATGGCAGTATGAATGGAAATAGTTTTTGGTAGTCATTTGATAAAATAAAATAATTATGTTACTACTAATTTTTAAAAAATATAATTTTTATTTTTTAATTCTATATTTCACATAAAATGATTTGAAAATAGTTTTAGTCAAGCATCGTAATCTGAAATAGACGATTTAAATTGGGACGGAGGGAGTACTACGTAGAATGAATAGACATTAAGGAGTAAAATTTAAGCGCATATTTGGTGAGTTTTGGATGTATATGATATTGAAATTTGAGAGAAATGGTATGAGTTTGAAATCTTAAATGAAATTTCTTGAGAGATTTGAATAAGGGTGATCATCGGGGTTGGTTTGGTCGATTTCGGCCCAAAACCGATTTAATCGAAAAAATAAATGATTCAAAATAAACTACCGAACCGGATCAACCTTGGGCTAAAATTGAACAAATCAAAACCGACAATAACCAAACCGAAATCGGCAATAATACATTTTGATCTAATCATGAAATAATAAAAAATAAAAGTAAACCATAATCACCAAAAAAATGCAAAAAAGGCATATTTAAGACACCAATTACTAAAAAATTACAAATTTAATTAGTAAAAGAAATTAAGATTTATTAAATGTAGATTTTACTAGTAAAAAAGTTACTCCGTATTTAACACCTTAATTTGTAGATTAATTAATAAAAGAAGAAAAACTAAGGAGTAATTGAAAAGAAAGAGGAATAAAGCCATAAAGGGCTGAACATAAAAGATGAGTGTTTTGGAAATAGAAGGAATAAAGGATTAAAGGGAAAGAGTTGGGCTCGATTCATATATTTGGGCTTTATTATGGGTCATATATTAATTTAATAAACATTAGTAACCAATATGGTTATCGGTTAAATGAAGATAGATGAAAAGAAAAAAGGATGATCCCCACCCGAGTCTTATCCCATGGGCTCTTCTTGCCTCCCCAATTGCCCAATGCCCACCCGAGAAAATAAATCAAAAGAAGTTAAAAAGAAAACGGACAAAGAAAGGAGAAGAAAGAAATGAAGAATGCGTGATCTCTCCCGCTAAAACCAAGAATCCATTTCGAGTAATAAAAAAACAAAGAAATCGGTTTCAGAACAGAATTCAATAAAGTCCTCAGTAATTTCAGTTCTCTTTCAACCCAACCGGAGACGACGCAGATTCAATTCTAAGGTAAACCATCTCTCCGTTCCTCTTCCCCAGCTCCGTTCTGTGATTTTTGTGTTCTTCCTCTTGATTTAGATCGCGGCAGTCGGTTCTTATTTAGATCTAACACATTAGATTCATACTTGATTTTTTAGTCTTGAATCTATATATCCATTGAAATGCATTTTTTTCTGCTCTCCTCTTTTTAATTCTTAGTTTCTGTCTAGAATTTCTCAATTTATTTTACTTTAAGAATCAGATTTTAAAGTTAACTTTTCACAAATAACTACACCAGCCACAAACCAATGCTACTTCACAACGTAACAACAGGACTAATAGTTTGTAAGGGTATATGAAGTATATGTACTCAAAAACACCAATGTGAAATATATGATTGAAAATAATAATTTTAAGGCTAAACTCCATCATTGGTCCTTCATTATGTACAATTGGTCCTTCAAGTTTTAAAAATCTATAAATAGTCCTTCAACTTAATAAATTGTGCACGATTAGTCCTTCAAGTTTTAAAAGTACATAAATAATCCTACAAGTACTCATTGGCCCTTCACATGAGGTCTTTTTGACAGTACACTTTAAAAGATAAACAAAATACTAGCTCCATATGATACGGACTACTCGTACCTATATGTTAAAAGCTGCAATGAGCATCCTCTCCCTCATCGCTCGCCCGCCTTCACCCTGGTGTCTCACCGCAGTGCCAAATGCAACTTCCGGCTTGCAATGGGTGTCCGCCGCTGGCCCCGCCCCTGTGGACGACGCGGCGGTCTCTCCCCTCCCCATTGTAAATGTTGGGGATAAGTTTATTTTTTAAAAAATGGGATTCAAATTGTATAAAGGACACAAAATATTTAAATTGTGGGAACCCATTAATTCCCTATACGTCAAAAACAATCACCTACTTATAGGTGCGAGTACTCCGTATTATATGGAGCTAGTACTCTATTTAGCTTTTAACATGTATTGTTAAAAGGACTGTATCTGGAGGGGCTGATGAATATTTGAAGGACTACTTATGAACTTTTGAAACTTTAAAGACCAATCGTGCAAAGCTCATAAAGTTGAAGGACTACTTTTGAACTTCTTAAACTGGAAGGACCAATCGTGCACAACTCATAAAGTTGAAGGACCAACGGTGGATTTTAGCCTATTTTTAATTTGTACAATTATTAATATTATTAAGATATCTCAAATATTTTATTATGCTGTAAATTGTTTTTAATAATTTATATAGTTATATACACGAGTATAAGAGAACATTGGGTTGCTAATGATAATGATATTTGTAATTTTATATGAGTAATTTATATTTAAAACATTAGCTTAGTATGATAATTATATATTCCTTCTTTGCATGTTTAATTATTTCTATTTGTAAAAATAATTTATAAATTAGGAATATATTTTTTGTTAACAATTATTGCATACCAAAATACTCCATAAGAAGTACTACGTACTCCGTAATATTTAATTTCAATTGACAGTTTGGCACACAATATTGTAGTACGTGTAAGAGGTCAATATTAATTGATGAATATTTGTAAGGGTCATACAAAAAAATTTAGTGGTCTTTGTAGTACAAAAGTATTGGTAAACTATTGAATTGAATTAGTAATTGTAGTACAAAAGGATATAGTGGTAATTGTAGTACAAAAGGATTGGTAAACTATTGAATTAGTAAGCAAATTGTATTCATTTTCATTGCTGATTCGTATCACTGGAAAGCTAGGCAGAGTTGATACTGTGCCCTGATGGATGATGAAGATCCCCGAGCTTATAAGTATGGGAAACTATGTGAAGGCCGGGCTAGTAGCCGTTCAACTCAGTTATGTGATCTACCTGATGAGATCCTTATTCTTATCTTGAGCTTTCTTAGGATGAAGGAAGCAGTGAAAACGACTGTGTTATCGAAAAGGTGGAAGAACTTGTGGGCTTTTATTCCGGATTTTCATGTATCACAACGTGAGTTTCCAGAGAGGCCACTCTTCTTGGACTTTGTGATACGAGCCTTTGCTCTTCGCAATGGATTTTCACTCAGGAAATTCTCTATCTCGTGCGACATTCTGGAAGATGCTCCTCTTATCATAGCTTGGGTTTCTTTTGCATTGAGGCTCAATTTGCAGGTTCTCAATCTACACCTCGAGAAGCCTAGTACCCCATATGAGACTTTCATGTTTGATTGCTTTCTCAGAAGTGAATCTTTGAAGGTACTTAACTTGGATTTGCCTTGTGTTGTGGTAATTCCTCCCCGGGTATCTTTTCCAAATCTGAAGGAGTTGAGGGTCTCTGAAATTATATTTGAGGATGTGGACTCCATAGAGAAGTTATTCTCTTGTTCATCACTCGAAATGTTATCTATCTACCAATGCAAATGGAGGGACCTCAAGGACATACACATTTCTGCCCCCAACCTTCGATTCCTCTGCATTGATGAAACAATTGATGATGATAACATCGACTTTGATGAAATTGGTTTTGCATTTCAAGATGCACTTTCCTACGATCGCCGGATCCATATTAATGGAGCTTCTATCAAATCCTTCATCTACAACGGGGAGCTCATCAATGAATGTTGCATATTGGGGGACACAATGCAGTTAGTTGAGCGTGCGCGAATTAATATCGATCGCGCATATCAAGCTGAAAAGTTTATTGTCGTGCCTCGTGGATTTAAACTACTCTCAGCTGTTGCTAATGTGAAGAGTCTCTCTCTAACCCATCACTTTCTCACAGTATGTATGCTTATGTACACAATCTTATCACCATTTGCCATTCTTTTATAACTGGTTCAATTCTAATCCTAAACATTAAAGTTTTTTTTTATGTCTATAGATTTTTTGGATCAGGTTCTGTTAGCAATTCTTAACATTTGTTCCATCCTTAGGATCTTGCGGCTGGGTATGAGCTCCTCGACACCCTTCCTATGTTTTGTAATATGACCAACTTGTCAGTGGAAGGGTCATTAGATCCGATGTCTTTCAGGATCTTATCAATGATACTAAGAAGATCTCCCCATCTTAGAAGCCTCAGGTTTTTGGAGGTATCATTTTCTATCCTTGATTCCTTGCCAAGTTTTCCTGAACAATCTCACCACGAACACTGATGTCCTCTTGCTTCAGGAATTTGACCACTTTCCTCGGCATGAAAGAGATGGATTGTTGGATCCGGTGCCTTCTTGTTTCTTGACGGAGCTCAAACTGATTGCTTTTAAAATTGACAACACTGATCAAGGTTTTGAAGATCAAATATTCGCTATTGGGCTTTTGGTCAAAACCACAACAGTTCTTGAAAAACTGGAAGTTTATTATAAGCAGGACACTGTGGACATTGGTTTTCTAGTGAACGGTATGGGTAGCCTTCCAGGTGGATCACATGCTTATCAAATTTTCTTGAGATCTTGACATTTCTTCAAGGAGATTCGTCATACTTTCATGGAAATCTAAGACTTATGTTTGGGAAAAACAAGCTTATATATAGACAGGAAGACAGGTAATGAATTGAGTTTTGTTGTTGCTGGTTCAGGGCTTCTTTACAAGCCAAGTAGTGTTTAAATCTCTGCAACTTTCATGCTTTGGGGATCTGACTCACAAACCAAATCACTTGCTATCATCAGTCAGAGAGGGGAACTTTTTAAAACTTTATGTAAATATGCTCCCCAGCGAGCGATCTATGCTCATATGAACTCATATGTTGTTACTGGAATATGTGACTGCTTATACTGAAGCTAGGAGATGTCGAACAGGCTCTGAAACTTATTGTTTCCATGCTGCAACTATTTTTGTTCAAGCCTTTTTTTAAGAAAAAATCTTCTGGCCAAACATGTTTGGGCTTTCACCATGGAAAAAAAAAGAATTTATGGGGGAAATGGATCCACTTTACCTACCTGCTTTACTGCAGCATATGGGATATCCAGCCTAAGCAGAGAATAGCTACGTTATGGTTTGGTTCAATGAATTTGAATGGGAAAAGATAAGAAAATGAGAGAGTAACTTTTCTTGTTTGGTTAGAGAGGAAAAAGAGAAGAAAAGTAGAAGCAAAAGAAAATGGGAGAAGAAAATGCACTAAAAAGGAAAATGATTTTCCTTCCGTTTTGGTGAAGAAAATGAGACATTTTTTTCTTTCTTTAGAATTCCAAGAACCAAACACAGTGCTAGTGCCTAGTGCTACTAGAGGGAGCTTTGTGTCTCAAGGAAAAAAGTTTAGAGTGAACTTATGGCTTATACTTTAGAATAAATTACCAGTTAAGAGCATCTTCTTAAATTCACCTTCGCTTGGAGGACAGATGCATGTTCTGTATGAAAGAAGTTGAATCTATTAATCATCTTTCTTTTTTAAACTTGTGAGTACACAAAAGATGTATGGAAAGAGATGTTGGGCAAGCTTAGAGTTCATAGCTTACCACTTAATATGCAACATTGCCACAAGCAACCCCACGCATATTATCAAATTTATAGAAGTGCTTTGACTTTCCAATCATGTCTTTGGAATGATACTAAGGATGAGATATAAAATGAGGGCAAGTAGAGAAAAACGATTCGAGAAAATAAAAACTTAAGTCTATTTAGTGTTTCAGGTCAACCAAAAATAGAAATTTGAGTTTAGTTCTGAGATGGTAAATAAGAAAAGTGTGATTCCAGTTATGGGACGGAGTGAATATCAATATGCAATACAACACCATTTATTACTAGCTCAAGTTAGAAAAATATTTCACGATCTTCCAAAAAGTTTAGCAAAATGTAAGGAGAATCTGTTCTTGTACCATCAATTGTACAGTGTAAATAGGATATGTTAAAATATCTAAATACCTATAGCACTAAGGGCTTAAATTGGGAGACTTTGTTGAAGGGGAGCAATGCATTGCCTAGCTTGTTTATCCTCTTTTGTTTCTGTAAGTTGAACTCCTTGTTGATAAAAAACAAGGAGATAAAAAAGCGTCAATCAAGTGTTCTCTTGCTTTTCCAACATGTTGACAGTTGACATCATTTTATTTCTCATTTCGTGTAATATCATTTTATTAAGGTGTTGCTGTCTTAGTGTGGCAAATTTTGGTTGTGACAAGCATTTTCCTCATTTCGTGTAATATCAAAGCGGCTTTAAGTAATATCAAATCGGTTTTCTCTCCCGCTAAAACCAGCTTTTGCTTCTCAAAATTCCATTGAAGTAATACCAAATCGGCTTTATCTTCAGAACATAATTCAATTAATTTTAATTCTCTTTCAGGATGTTTCGACGTGACTTCTTAATTCTCTCATGATATGAATTAGCTTCATGATATTGTCTTAATATTTTTCCAATTCAATAGATTCATACTCTTTGTCTGTGAGTACTTGTCTATATTCTTTTTCAGAAAATATATAGCCCGATATAGAATCCCTGCAACACCGCTGCAGCGGCTATGCCCATCTCGGCTTTCGGGCTTCAGTTTGCTTCGAATTGCATCACCACTGCATCAGCGGCGGTCATCACTGCATCATCACCGCTTCAACGGCGGTCGTGTATCTGTACAGAGCTTAGGCTGTCAGTTGGCCAACTGCAGTTGAGGACTTGAGGTATGTTTTTCTTAACTTTGTGATTTTTTTTCTTTCCTATTTTGGCATTTCTATAATTAAATTGCATGATTCTCGACTTCCTTCTTTACTACGGACAAGTAGTTCAGAAAATTCAAAATGGGATTGCAAGTTGATACGGAGTATATAAGATGAAGTCTAAAAGGGTTTCAGTACACTTTTAAAGCAAACATAAGAAGTGCAAAATAAATAAATTCCCAGGACTGTAATCAATAATTCTTGATTCAAATCTCAAATCCTGGATTCCTTGTTTGAATTATTAGCTCTACTAGTATTAGTTTTGGCCTATATTCATATGATGTTAGTGTTGATAGTGAAACTGATTTGTCTTTTGAGGGCTTTCAGATTAAAACTCCTGGATTTCATCATTTGTCAAATGTAATATCTTTATCACATGTAATTTTTATCTTCATATTCTGTATTTTTCAATCACGTGAAACTTTTTATGATGCATCGCTCTATATTATTTTTAACATTTTTATATTATCTTAAATATTGATCTGATTATCATGTTAATTCAATGAATAATTGCAATGCTTTAATCAACAATTCTATAATTCGTAATATTAAAATTCTACTCCCTCCGTCCCAGAATTATCATCATAGTTACGATTTTGGTTTTTTGGTAACTTTTGTTTGTTTGCATGTTTTTGATAAAATAAAATATGTCACCTCTTGTTTGTAGAATTTTTTTAACAATATGTATTTTGTAATTTTTTTGTTTCTATACCGATTTGTAAACAAAGTAGATTTAAAAGGAACGGGATTTTACACGTTCGAAGTAAGACCATAATTTTGGGACGGAGGGGTAATTCTCATAGTCAGATATTATGTTACAATTTGAATCCACAAGTTAATTCCGGGCATATCCCATGTGCTTTAGTGATCTTTGTGCCAAAGGATTGTTGTGTTCTTCTCACTTGTGTTTGTTGATTAATAATGTACATCTTTTAGTATTTTTGAAAGCTGAAACATTCACATCTGATAAACAATTGAATTAGTAAACGAGTTATATTCATTTTCTTTGCTGATTTGTATCACTGGAAAACTAGGTGGAGTTGATATTGTGCCCTCATGGATGAAGCTCCCCAAGCTTATAAGTATGGGAAACTATGTGAATGCTGGGCTAGTAGCTATTCAACTCAGTTATCTGATCTACCTGATGAGGTCCTTATTCATATCTTGAGTTTTCTCATGCTGAACATAGCAGTGAGCACGACTGTGTTATCGAAAAGGTGGCAGAACTTGTGGGCTTTTATTCCGGATCTTCATGTTTCACAATGTCTGTCAGAAAGGACACTCTTTTTGGACTTTGTAATGGATCTTCACTCAGGAGATTCTCTCTCGGGTGCGACATCCTGGAAGATGCTCCTCTTATCATAGCTTGGATTTCTTTTGCACTGTTGCTCAAAGTGGAGGTTCTCAAGCTACACCTCCAGAAGCCTAGCTCCCCTTATGACACTTGTTGGATTTCTTCATCAGAAGTGAGTCGTTGAAGCAACTTAGCTTGGATTTGCCTTGTATTGGCACCTAGGGTATCCTTTCCAAACCAGAAGGAGTTGACTGTCTCTGATATTATATTTGTGGATGTCAACTGACTCAACTCCATAGAAAAGTTATTTTCTTGTTCATCACTCGAGTCGTTATCTATCTGCCAATGCAAATGGATGAACCTCAAGAACATACACATTTCTGCCCCCAAACTTCAATTCCTCTGTATTGATGAAACAATTGATGATGAGGATATCGACTACGATGAAGTTGGTTTTTCGTTTCAAGATGCTCTTTCCTATGATCGCCAACTCCATATTAGCAGAGCTTCTCTCAGATCCTTCATGTACAATGGCGAGCTCATCAACAACTGAATGTTGTTTGCAGTTAGTTGAGAGTGCGCAAATTGACATCTATCGCTTATATGAAGTTGACCGGGATATTGTTGTGCCTCGTGGGTTTAAACTATTCTTAGTTTTGCTAATGTGAAGACGCTCACTCTAACTCATCACTTTTCTCAAGGTATGTATGCTTATGTACACAATCTTATCATCATAAGCCTTTCTTTTATGTTCAATTTTTCGTAACTTGTTCAAATCTCATAATCATGAAGCTTTTGTGTTCCTATAGATGCTTTGAATCAGGTTCTGTTTGCAAATCTCTAACATTTGTTCCATCCTTAGGATCTTGCGGCTGGAGATGAGCTCCTTAACACTCTTCCTATGTTTTGTAATATGACCGACTTGTCAGTGGAGGGATCATGAGATCTTATGTCTTTCAGGATCTTATCAATGATACTAAGAAGATCTCCCCGTCCTAGAAATCTCAGCTTTTGGGAGGTACCATTATATATCCTTGCCAAGTTCTCGTAAACAATCTTACTGCAAAAACTGATGTTAACTTTCTCCAGGAATCTACGACGTTTGTTTTGACAAAAACAAGCTTTCATATAGTTAGGGACTACGGATCTCCCCAGCAGTCAAATCAAGATTTTAGTTCACCTCTCAGGAGGCCAAGAGAGGTTTTATGGAAGGAATTGCGTGTGAAACCATTCTAAGCAAAATTGTTAACATCGGGGTTGGGTATACCAAGTTGTACCCAGATTATACTCTAACACTTATTCAACTGCATATTTCTTATTCATTCATCAACTTTTTTTTATTAAACACTTAAAAGATCAATGGTGAAGGTGTTGAAGTGCACATTAGAGTACAACTTGATGTATCCCAAGTATTTCTATAGGTTTAGCGCTCAATGAAAAACAATATTCATATCCTCATACTCATTATTTTTACAGGAGTATATCTAGATTGTTTTGTGGGTGTACGTAGAAATATTTACCAAGCTATGAGGCAATTTGTCACATCTTTTGATAATGAGACTGTGTGTTATGGATGGGCTTGATAGTGTGTAAATGAGTATGATCTGGAGTGATAAAAATATATGTAATATGGTGAATGTGAAGGGAAACGATGATGTGTGAATATGTATTAAATTTTAATTAGTTGAAATATTTGAAAAAAAGAAAAAAATTAATGGGGAAGGAGAAGCCAATACAGAGGGAAGACAGTCACTTGGATTGAGACAACGCCCCTTCATGGTAGGTATGTTTTGGAATGGGGGGGGGGGGGTGNCTCCTCATCACGCCCCATAACACATGACCTGATACATCCTCAAAACTACTCAATTGGTTCCAGAACTAAAGTCTTATTGCATACACTCATTAATTATTATTTTTTTACCCGGAGTAAAATTTAATTCATTTAAATAATGATATAAAAATTTAGAATAACTTCATATAAAAATTACATCAAATGTTTAATAAAACAATGTAGCATAACCATGTTATTTTAACAAATACGGAGTAATAGACAAAATTAAGTAAATACATTGAAAAATGACTTGTAAATAGTTGTTGATACTTTTTTCGAGTGACATGTAAATATTATTGAAATTCAAGTACAAAAAATACAAGAATAAAACAGGCATATCTGAGTCAACAAAAACATTCATAGTTGTTGATAATTAGAAAAAAAATGTAACGCCCATTTCGAACGCTAACACATCGCATTAGTCTGGCCTTTAGAGAGATGAACTTGCGCCTGTGATTGAAGATCTTCTATACACTTTAGGACGAGACAAGTACTACTCTGTTGTATACTACTCCCTTCGTCCCAAATTATAATGCCTGTTCACTATTAACAGTGTCAAACTTCATTCACTTTCTTTCTTTATTTTCGTAAGTAATTTGATAAAATAAAATATTGTTGTCACTACTAGTTTTTTAGATATTTTGATATAATATTTTGATATGTAATTTTTATTTTTTAACTCTATACCATTTTTCATATAAAATGATTTGAAAATAATTTCAGTCAAACATCGTAAACCGAAACAGACGTTATAAAATGGGACGGAGGTAGTACTCTAGAAGACTAGTTTTATCAGGTGCAGACTCCACCCTTTGTCACTAATCTGTAATAAAAATTTAATTTAATTCCTCTCAATTCCCGTGCAACAGAATCTGAGGGGCCCTTAGAGATAGTAGGCTCATCCTTTTTTATTACTCCGTATAAAAAGAAGACTAGTTTTGGCATAAATCCAGACAAAATGGATGCGGGCTGGGAGTTTTAGCCATCTCTCCCGCTAAAACCATCCTTTCACTCTCAGTTCGGCGTTATCTTAATATCTACAGAACAGAACTCAAGTAATTTCAGTTCTCTTTCAAGCTCTTTCGACCTAACTGGAGACGAAGCAGATTCAATTCAAAGGTAAACCCTCTCCGCTCCTTCTTCCCTAGCTCTGTTATGTGATGTTTATGTTCTTCCTCTTAATTTCGACCAGCTGGTTCTTAATTGCTTTGTGATATAGATCAGATTCATGATATTGTCCCAGCAATTTTCTAATTCATACTTGATTTAAATCTATATATTAATTCTAATCCACAATTCTACTCATATTAAAATTTGAATCGACAAGTCAATTTTGGACCTATACCCTATGATTTGGTGGTCCTCATAGTGCAAAAAGAATTGTTGGGTTCTTCCGGACCGTGTTTGTTGATTAATTATTGAATTAGTAGAGTAGTTATTTTCATTTTCGTTGCATAATCCTATCACTGGAAAGCTAGGTAGAGTTATTATTGTGCCCTGATGGATGAAGCCCCCCAAACTGATAAGTATGAGAAACTATGTGAAGGCTGGGCTAGTAGCTGTTCAACTCAGTTATGCGATCTACCTGATGGTGTCCTTATTCATATCTTGAGTTTTCTCGGGCTGAAGAAAGCAGTGACTACAACTGTGTTATCAAAAAGGTGGAAGAGCTTGTGGGCTTTTATTCCGAATCTTGCTGTATCACAATGTGATTTCCCAGAAAGGCCACTCTTCTTGGACTTCGTGGGAAGAGCCTTTGCTCTTCGTGATGGATCTTCACTCAAGACATTCTCTCTCTCGTGCGACATTCTGGAAGATGCTCCTCTTATCATAGAATGGGTTTCTTTTGCATTTATGCACAACGTGAAGGTTCTCAATTTATACCTTGAGAAGCCTGGCTCTCCTTATGACACTTACGTGTTGGATTTCTTCATCAGGAGTGAATCCTTGAAAAAACTTAGCTTGGATTTGCCTTGTGTTATTGTCATTCCTTCTTGGGTATCTTTTCCGAACTTGAAGAAGTTGAGTGTCTCTGAAATTATATTTGTGGATGTTAACTCCATAGAAAAGTTATTCTCTTGTTCATCACTCGATTCGTTATCTATCTACCGGTGCAAATGGAGGAACCTCAACAACATATGCATTTCTGCCCCCAACCTTCAATTCCTCGACATTGATGAAACAATTAATGATGATGATATCAACTTTGATGAAGTCGGTTTTACATTTCAAGATGCACTTTCCTACGATCGCCGGGTCTATATTAACGGAGCTTCTCTCAAAACCTTCATGTACAATGGCGAACTCATCAATGATATTTGTATATTGGGTGACACGACAAAGTTAGTTGAGCGTGCGCAAATTAATATATGTCGCTTATATGAAGCTGCACAGGATATTATTGTGCCCCGTGGGTTTAAACTACTCTCAGCTGTTGCTAATGTAAAGGAGCTTATTCTAACTGATGACTTTCTCAAGGTATGCATGCTTATGCAGACAACCTTATCATCATTAGTCTTTTTCTAATGTTTAATTTTTAGTAACTGGTTCAAATTTCATAATCATAAAAATTTTCGATTCGTATAGTTGTTTTGAATCAGATTTTTTTAGCAATTCTTAACACTTGTTCCATCCTTAGGATCTTGCAGCTGGGGATGAGCTCTTCAACACCCTTCCTATGTTTTGTAATTTGTCTGACTTGTCCGTGGAGTGGTCATTAGATCCTGTGTCTTTCAGGATCTTTTCAATGATACTAAGAAGATCTCCCCGTCTTAGAAGTCTCAGCTTTTCAGAGGTATCATTGTTAAGAACATTATTGTGAGAAAATTAGGCCATGTTCTCTTCACCTGATCTGATTGGAATAATTTATGATATGATGTGGTCTGATCTAAATGTAGTTATATTTAAAACTATTTCTGATCTAATCTGGTCTGACCTAAACTTGTGTGATTTGATCTGATTCCAATAAGAATAAGTAATAAGTAAAAAAAATAAGTTGGGGAGAACATGACCTTATTCTTTTGTATTTCTGGTATTAACAATGAGAGGAGAGTCAATATAAATAATTCTCCCTCCGCCCCAAAAAAAGGCTCACAGTTTCACTTAATACAAAGTTTAAAGAAAATGAAAATGTGTGGTTGAAAGTTATGCAAAGGAGAGAGCAAAATTGTAAGCCACTCAATTTTTTCCAATAAAGGAAAGAGGAAGCCTTTTTTGGGACATCCCAAAGAGGAAATAAGGATTTTTTTTTGGGACGGAGGGAGTAAAAGATTAGAAATTGATGATGTAATCATGTAAATTAGCTTGACCGGACTTACTACTCTAGACCGGGTCTAGGACAAGAAGCTAAGTTGCGAAACTAATGACAAAAATGAAACACTCAACTGTGTCAAGACTCAAGACACCGGAAAGGTTGTAGGTGGGAATACCTATAGCCTAACTATTATTAATATTTAAGCAGAGGGAGCTGGAGCTCAAAGGAGAAAGTACAGGGCTAGTAGAGTGCTAGAGTTCGGATCCCCTTTTTGAAGGAAATACAACATTATTTATAGGTGCAAACCTAGGGTGGCTACTGTAGACCTGTGACGTCTACTGTAGCAACGTGACCGCATATCTTTAATTGACAAGTCACTTTGGACTTTAGCTGTTGGACTACATTCTTTGGAGCCTAGTATCTTGACTTCAACATCACATCGCCGACTGCTGGGCCTCTGGTGATCTGCAAGAATCTCTCATATTCTCATCACATGTTTTCCTCAAAGTTGCCGCTCGCCTGGGAGTTACAACTGTCAACCCATCACCCGGGTTATAGCCGTAGCCTGTGCCCTATCCCTAAGCTATACCCTGTCCACTCCAATGTGCAGCTCCGTCTATCCATGGCTCGAATGTCGCATCTTAAGGCCATGCCAGGCCTGTCTTCTCCTCAAGCGAGTAGACCCAAATTGTTGACCCGGTCAACCCTGGGCTCATCCCTTCTAGGATTATGACCCTGGCCTGGGTGTTGCACCATAAAACCAAATCCGGTCATCCCCTCCCCGGGAAAGGATGCTTCACCGTTGACTCGGTCAACCTTGGGTTTATACCCATGGGAAATATTTCATGAGTTTTAAAGGGGGGACAAAATATACAAGGAAACAAGCAATACAACAATAATGACAAGGTATGTACCATAAATAAATATTACCAAATAATTATATTGCTTCTTTTCTTGACACTCCCTCAACTTGGGAATCAAAAAACCCATACGTGATTTGACCAATGCTTTGATATGAATGTTGGCAAGCTGATGTGTAGTAGATTCATATTCTTTATGAGTAACACCACACATAATTTCATCTCAAACAACATGACAATGTATCTTAATGTGTTTCGTCTTCTCGTGAAAAAATGGATTGACATCCATGTGAAGTGCAACACTATCATAGTGGATGTTCATAGGATCGGTATGAAGTATGCCTAGGGTAGTAGACCCTCTAACCATTTCAAAGGGCACGGTATTCAGCCTTGGTAGAAGACCTGGTTATCGATGTCTCTTTCTTCAAATACACAAGAGAGTCCCTAAGCTGCACAAACCAACCCTTAATCAAAGAACACGCAATACGAATCACACCATATGTTTGGATGCAAATCACTATATGAAGAAAGAAGTATGTCATGACCAGGACACCCCTTCCCTATACTTTTCTGGATCAACAAGCAACGGAGTTTGAGAAAGGGCGCCGATGGTTCTGTTCCATAGGTTCGCTCGAAGGCACGATCAAAGTAATATTGTCTCAAAAGTAATATCGCGGTCATATTTTATTTGGCATAAGTAAATACTTTACTAGCTACAAGCCACCTAGATGTGTAGAAAATATTTTAAATATTCTAGATCTTTCATGTGAAAACATTGAGATAAATAATATCAGCGTCGTAATATTTTCTGTAAATGCCAATACATCCACATACACAAGTACATGAATACCCCGCACCATTTAGTGAAAACAAAGAATAAGCTGAGAGGGACTGAACAAAACTGTACATCTTCAAAGCACCAAGAAGTTTGGCAAACTAACATCACGGAGCCTGTTTCAAACTGATGGATATCAGGTCTGGTAGACCCGACTCCAGGCCCAAACGAAGGCCCATAATAGCCCAAAAGGTATAAGATCAGATGGGGATGACGGGCCAGGCCCGTTATCTCGCATATGGCAAGTAAAGGAAGACGGCCCAGACACGGGATAGATCAAGGTGACCCAGTCCAAGGGAGGAATGGGACACGTGGACCACATCATCAAGTTGTGGGCGAAATGGGAAGAGAACGAGACCGGAAAGGAGGGGAATCACAACCCCATGATCTCCATAATCCATCTCCATTTTGTATAATTTTAATTAGAATATTAGAAGTACTATAAAAAGGGGAAGACCCCGCCATTGTAAGGCATGTCACAACAAGACAGTTCAATACACAATCAAAGAATATTATCGAGTGATTATATCTTCCTAATTCATATTCCGTTCTTGGTCCGCCATCTGATCGGGTTAATCCCATCACAAACCATACAAAGACTTCTTCAACTTACAAACAAAAGAGAAGCTGGAGGAGTGAACCCTGGCTATAAAGCATGAAAATGTTTTCATGAAGGTAATCATGAAGGAATGCACTGGGAACATCCATTTGATGGACTTCCCAAGACTGAGCTTCAGCAAGTGCCAATAGGGTCTGTAATTCTGTATGATCGTAAATTTGACCACATGACTACATGTCTTAGTGTAGTTCAAGACTTTTGTTTGTATTCTGTCAAGTCACATTTTAGTTGTTGGATCCATGGTCCGTTAACAATTGAGAAACATGCTTTCAAATCGACCCAAAGTTCGGAAGCTAATTCTATATGTGAAATTGTTGATCTCAATATTGGTTCTATGGTGTTTCATATCCATGACACCAACAAAGAGTAATGCATCCACCACTCATCAACATTGTCTGATTCTGGAGGCGTTAGCGGAACTTATCCATCATCAAATCCAGATAGAGATATTTCAACCATTCTTCATAATTATCTCCTATTTTTCTGGCAGGTATACCCGGTTTATCACTAGTAAATAGATCATAGGGTGAGATTCAACGACATCGTTGAATGACCGCATTGTCATCTTCTGGCCGATCTGTTAGATTTTGCTTCAGCGTAGCCGCATCAGGGGTAGTAGGGTTTTCCAAAGCCATTGTCCATGCTGAGGAGGATGTCACGATGACAGTGAAGAAAACGCAGCCGATGGTGTCAATTGGAAAAAGGGAAGAAAGAATAGTTATTGGGAGAAAATACTCTTGTATTTCTTCATTTTCTTGTATTAACAATGAGAGTAGAGTCAATATAGATGATAGAAACATCTTAGCAGGCTGAGTTCTAGAGGAACCAGAACTAAACAAAGAAATATTACCAATTAATTATATTACTTCTTTTCTTAACAAATCCTTGCCAAGTTTTCGTAAACTATCTTACGACAAGAACTGATGCCTTCTTGTTTCAGGAATTTGACAGCTTTCCTCAGAATGAAAGAGATGGATTGTTGGATCCGGTGCCTTCTTGTTTCGTGACGGAGCTCAAACAGATTTCTCTTCCAATTGACAACACGGATCAAGGTTTTGAAGACCAATTATTTGTTATTGGACTTCTGCTCAAAACCGCATGTGTTCTGGAAGAATTGGAAGTCCGTTATATGCAAGACTTCGTGGACGCCAGTTTTCTAGAGGACACTATAGGCAACCTTCCAGTTGGATCAGAAGGTTGTCAAATTTGGTTTATTGACAGATCCTTTAAATGAAAGGAGATTTTCCAAACTTTGTTGGAAATCTATGACTTAGTATGTTTTGACAAATAGAAGCTTATACATCGGAGTATATAGATAAGTACCATGGATCTCTGGTCATCTCCCAGCAGAGTTTTGCAATTTCTTTTGAATTTTGAGTGATATTTTGCTGCAGCTGGTTCAGGCCTTCATTTCAAGCCAAGCAGTGTTTGGATTTATAAAGACTTAATGCAGATTTGCTTCCCAGTAAGTGATCTATGCTCATATGAACTTATAAGCATCCATCTTTTGTCACTGGAACTTATACTGAAGTGAGGAGATGTCGAAAAAGCTCTGTAACTTGTTTTTTCAATGCTGTAATTATTTTCATTCAAAGCATGTTTTGTTTTTTGTTTTTTTTTTAAATCTTTGGGTTAAAAAAATGGATCCCTTTTCCCCACTTGCTAAACTGCAGCATATATATGGGATTTCCAACCTAAGCAGAATAGCTAGTGGTATTGGAGGGAGCTTTTTTTCTAAAGTCAAAGAAGTTTAGAGCTGGTTATATTGGATCAGTAAAAACTTATTCTGATCAAACCTACAATTGGTATTTTAATGGCTATGAAAACATTTCATGATAAGAATATTTTATTTTATCAAATTATCAATGAAAAATGAGTGACGATAAGGGCATATCAAAAGTGTACCCCACCCACTTTACACCACCAATGACCAAACACATCGCCACACATTTCTTATTCACTTCTCTCTCTTCATATCTATATCAAGAAATGTGTGGTGGAGAGCATATTGGGTACAAATCGAATACACTTTTGGCGTATTTCTAGTATTTTGATAAAAAATACACGCAAACAAAAGTTATCGTGATACTTGTGTGTATTTCAATTAGGGATTAAAACTAAACTGTATATTTCCTCCATTCCATATTAATTGGCTATTACGGAGTATAACTTTTTTGATACCTTAAAAAATAAATGAATATAAACATAAAATATATTCACATTCATTCATCTTTCAATGTTAAGAGAATCATAAAGGTCATTTAATATTGAATTAAGGAAGTATACACTTAAAAAAAGTTATTCGTATCATTTACTTTTTCCGTTTCAGAATATATGTCCAATGTTGACTTTTCGCAATCAACTAGAATCGATGTTTGATCTATAATAAAATAAAAATTAAATAGTATGTTATTTAGATAAAATAATATTTTAAAAATATTTTACAAGATAAATTTAGTAAAACTATTCATGTATCTATGTACGGAGTATGAAATAAGTTTTATTTAATCAATGATCAAAGTTTATCAATTTTGACCGTAAAAAATTTAAAAATAGACAAAAATCTTCCGATATATATGTAGAGAAGAGAGAAATACGGAGTAACTTATAGTCTTATACACCAGTTTCGAACTGTTTGTTTGTGTATAAGACTATAAAAGTTAGTTTCTCAAAATATGGGATAACCAAGAACAGTTTTGTGTGTTAGAAGCTCCCAAAATTAATTTAACTCTACTTATATTATACTATACTGCATTCGACGGTTATCGGCGCCGCCCCTGCATCATCGCTGCTTCGACGGTGGTAGTGTATCGGTACAGAGCTCAGGCTGTCAGTTGGCCGACGGCAGTTGAGGACTTGAGGTATATTTTTCTCTACTGTGTTCTTTTTCCCTTCCGATTATGGCATGTCTATAGTTACATTTGCTCGATTCTCGAATTTCTTCTTTAATAGTTTAAATTTCAGAAAATACACAAATTGGGATTGCAATTTGAGAACCTGAATGCGTCATGTGGGTGATAATGTGATATCTAAGAAAAAAGTAAAAGGGTTTCAGTATGATTTTGAGGCAAACATTTGAATTGCAAAATAAATAAAACTCCCAGGACTGTAATCCATAGTTCTTGATTCAAATCTCTCAAATTCTGGATTCCTGGTTTGAATAATTCGCTCTACTAGTTTTATTTTTGGCCTATTTTCAAATGATTTTAGTTGATAGTGGAACTGAATTGGGGTCCTTTGAGGCATTTCAGATCAAAACTCTGATGAGGATTTCGTCAATAGCACCTAAGGGTAATAAATGAAAACAAGGTTCAATTTAACCTAGTCAGGGGGGCTTTGAATTCTGAGTTGTCTGTAATGCTTATAAGTTTTTAAGATGTAAAAGGGTATTCCATCCGTGGGATGTTTCCCTTAGTTTCTTTAGCATAGTTTTCTAAATAGAGACATCATTGTTTTTTATTTTTTAACTTAAAGAACTTTTTAGCCATTTTGTTCTTCTAACGAGGTTGCTTCCAAGAATCCACTATTTTGTTGTGATTTCCATTTTTCTGTTGTCGGAGGAAGCGGTTGGCGCCCTTTCTCTTGTCAGCCATACACCATTTCAAGGGAAGCAACTGTGTTCCTCGGGAGCACTCTACGGAAGCATCCGTCCTGTGGATGGTCATAACAACTCTCTCTCACTTTCAATCAAATCTCAACTAGACTTTTTAGTTTTTCACACTTCTTCTTAAACTTCCGTGAGGTCGAACCATGAATTTAATTCAGGGATGAAGGGAGCATAACTCAATAAATTTTCTATGTATATTATGGTCAAGGTTTACAAACTTTGACTAAGAAAAGTCAAACAACATTTTTAAGGACAAAAGTAGGACTAAACTGCCTTCTAGATTCAAATTATTGAAATTGGAAAGCTTGTTAAGTGAATCATGCTTGTTTTATACAGTTTCATTGAATAAATAAATTGGAGCTTATCACTGTGTTCCACTTGCAGGATTTGAATTTGGATAATAATTAGTTGCAATCCTCGATGAACTGGTCCGTAAATCATTTAAGCACCTTGCTTCAGAATTGCATGAAATTGAGACTCCTTCAACAATGCAAGCAAATTCATGCAATTATGTTAACATCATGCCTAGATATGAACGTTCTGGCACTGAATTCAAAGCTTGTTGGTGTCTATGCTAGTTGTGGAGACTTAGTTTCTGCTGAATTTATATTTCAAAGGACACACAATCCAAATATTTTTGCATTCAATTGGATGATCTCAGCTTTAATATTCAATGGCTACCCCAAAAAAGCCATTGGGTATTTGTCCTTGCTCCTAGAATCAGGAACTATTATGAATAATTACACAATCTCTATAATCTTGAAAGCTTGCTTGGGTATGAAGGATTTGAGGAAAGGAAAGGGAGTTCATTGCATGCTATATAGATTAGGTTTTCAAGTGGATTTACCAATTGGTAATGCATTACTCGACATGTATGGGAAACTTGGAAACATGCATTATGCACGTTCATTGTTTAACGCAATGTCAATGAGAGATGTTGCAACCTGGACATCGATGCTATATGGGTATTCGAGCATGGGAAATATTGAAGAGTGCCTTAATCTGTTTGAAAGAATGAGGCATGGTGGCCTGAAGCCAAATGAGTTCACGTGGAACGTAATCATATCTGCATGTTCCAGGAGAGGAGATTCAGATGCTGCTTTTCTTTTGCTGTCTAAGATGAGTAAAGAGGGATTGGAGTGTGATTTGGTGACTTGGAATGCAATGATTTCGGGGTTCGTGCAAAGCCAACGATATGATGCAGCATTTGCATTGTTTCAAGAAATGTTAGCTGCGGGTCAAAATCCAAATGAAACCACTTTCACCTCACTTCTTACCATGTGTGGATTGATTGGTGCAGTTAAGACAGGGAAAGAAATCCACGGCTCGATATACAGAACAAGGATTAATATCAATGCCTTTGTTTCAAGTGCTCTTGTAGATATGTATGCAAAATGTGGAAGCGTAAATGATTCTTGGAATGCATTTATAACAGCTCCTGTCAAGAATTCAGCATCATGGAATTCATTAATAGGATGCTATGGAAAACATGGCATGGTAGACTACGCAATAAAACTCTTTGAGAAGATGCAATATGAAGGAGTGCAAGCAACTGAACTTACTTTCACTTCTCTTCTTTCTGCATGTAGTCACAATGGATTAGTTAAGAAAGGCTTGGAAATTTTTAGATCCATGGATGTGCTCTATGGCATTCATGCAAAGAAAGAGCACTATGCATGCATCGTTGATCTACTGTGTCGTTTTGGTTGGATGGATGAAGCTTATAATACCATAATACAAATGCCAATAGACGTTACAGAGTCAATTTTAGGTTCTTTCTTTAATGGTTGTAAGGTTCATGAGAGGAAAGATCTTGTTGAAATGTTGTCTACGAAAATTCCGAAGATGGAGTTGAGGATGCCAGGAAGTACTGTCATCCTATCTAATGTATATGCAGCTCAAGGAGAGTGGGAAAAGGTTGAAACAATGCGGAAGATGTTGAAGTACAAAAGTTTCAATAGGATCCCTGGTTCCAGTTGGGTGTCTGGTGTAGAAGACAAATCAAAAGGATAAGGTACTCCCTATGTCCCATATTGCCTGTCCATTTTTGTATTTTTTTTCATTTTTACTTTGTTCTATAGTGTTTTTATCATTTCATATTTGGCAACATTTATGTTGCTTATAATAATCCATACTTTATAACTGGAGTGTGAACTATACAATTCCATTGTCCTTGGTCGGTGTCCAACAAGACTACTCACTCTTTTTCATGTTTGTCTAATTCTCCAGTGTTTATTTACAGCCTATCTCTATTTTCACACTTCTAGATACTATTATTTGGTGAAATACAAAAATACAGAAATATAAACATCAATGTTAAACTTAAGACTGATCCTTCTTGTCTTGTTTGTTTAATTGTCCAGTTATTATGTACACCCATTCTCTATTTTCACATTTCTATATACTATTATTTGGTGAAGTACAGAAATATAGACCACCATATTGGAAACATCAATGTTAAACTACTCTGTTTCAAGTCTTTAGAAACTATCAAGTGAAAAGTGTAGAATTTTGTATCAATGGTAACATTAGTATTTAACATCAAATCATGATAGCAAGGCTGCATATCCTATACTACCTCCGTCCCAAAATAAAAGAAGTTTTAGATAAGTGCACAAGTATTCACAATGCTAACAAAAAAACACTTATAATCCCTATTTAAGTTTTATATTGAATGCATTTTTTTGTTTACAAGTACAAAAACATTTAATGTAGAAGATTGGTAACAAATATGCATTGAATTTCTCAAACAAAGAAAAATATTGGGCCGAGGGAATATTATTTTCAAGGTTTTTGGCAATGAACAGATGAAGATCGTGCCTCACTCATGTTTTCAAACTAGACGTGGCAAAATTTGACTCAGCTTGGCGAAATTTGACCTGAAATTACCTAAACTGGAAAATACCAAACTTGAACCCTCATGACTGGCCTGTTTGATAGCTCTAGTTCAAACTTCAAACTCTCGAGACAGGCTCTTAACGAAAGATATTTTTAACTTGTTTGTCTTGTAGGTTATGAGGAAATTTGTCATTGTTGACAATGCCACGGGAATGGGGAACTTTTAACAAATGAAGAAGTAATAGCTGATGTTAGACATTGTTGGTAGGGCTGTTCAAGTTGTCATGGAAAGAAAAAAAAAGGGCCTGATCCAACTGCTTGGTCCATACTCCTAAATGGGTCCGAAACTCCGAATAGGTTTGGGGTTGACCCTCGGTCACGAACTTTTCTTCATTCAGATTTTGGTTCATTTGGTCTGGACTGAAATAACATACTCGTATGTTTCTAATTTTATAGCAGCTCCACACTCGCAAGGCCACACTTATGAGAGCGGTTCAATGTTTTCTGCTTAGTGTTGCTCCTCAAGGTTTTAATCACTCCCAGATCCTCACCTGGCTTCTCTGATTCTGGTGAACAATTTCACTCTCTTGAGCTCTTGTTAAATATTTTCTTTCTATCACATGACTTCTCTTGCGCGTGTGTGTGTTATGCTCATCTTTACCATGTTTTTGAGTTGGTGATATGGGGCTGTTAAATACTTCCCACTGTTCCCAGTGGACTTGCTTGATTTGGTTTGCATAATTATGATTAGTTTTGATGAGTAATACTCCCTATGTCTAGTATGTAAGTTCCCACTTTGACTTTTCGGTGTTTAAGAAAATGTGAAACTATGTGTTTGAAATTTATGCAAAAAAAAAGAGAGAAATTATATGAACCACACTATTCAATCCTTAAAAGGAATGAGAATTTTTTTGTGGGACATTCGGAAAATGAGAAAGTAGATATGGGCTTTTATACTTCTTCCACATTCAGTTTTGCAGGTCAGGCATCATCAATCATCATCAATCAGCAGGCGATATCCTCTGTTCATAAAATTTTGGTGATGGTCCAATTTTAATTTCAGTGTGAGTAAAGATTTTATTGACCTCGTGCAGAGGACGATGGAAGATGATAGGGCTAAGAAGAAAGATCTTCATATTGACCTCAAGGTGTACGATAGGGTGACAAGGTTTTGTGGAGGTGTCTTGACTATAGAGGTGTTCCGATTGCATATATCCGCACGGTCAAAGATACGTGCGGTGGGGCAAGGACTAGGGTAATGATCGACTGACCGTTAGGGGCAACTCTAGGCCTTTTTTGTAGGGGTTAGGACCAGGGGTCTACCCATAGCCCATTCTTGTTCGTATTAGTGATGGGCGTCCTGACGCGGGGAGTTCAAGAGGGAGTCTTGTGGTGCATGTTTTTTGCGGATGATATTGTGCTTATCAACGACACGCGCGAAGGACTAAATGGCAAGTTGAACTTTGGTGCCTTTCCCTAGAGATCAAAAAACCCATGCACAGAATGTCATTTCAGCGGCCAGGAGATAGAATAGAATCAGAGGTGGAAGTTAGGATTGACTCTCACCTAGGGCCCAAGGCAGGCAAGTTTCGGTATCTTGGCTCGGGCTCAGTCAGGTAGATGAGGAGTTGGAAGGGGATGTAGTGCATCGTGTTGGAGCAGCTTGAGCTAAATGGATGTGGGCTTCAGAGGTGTAGTGCAATAAGAAGATTTCATCTAAGATGAAAGGTAAGTTCTACAGGTCGTCCGTAGTCACACCAGCTATGTTGTATATGGCGGAGTGCTTGGCGGTTAAGAAGACTCACGTGCATCGTCTACATGCAGTGGAGATGCGGATGTTGCGGTGGATGTGTGGATAGAGAAAGCTGGATAGGATTCTAAACGAGGTGATCTGTGGTTGGTTAGACATGACGCTAGTAGAAGATAAGCTGCGAGAAGCTAGGTTGAGGTGGTTTGTTCATGTGAGACGGTTGAATGCTGACGCCCCAGTGCGGAGATGCGATAGGCTTACGTTGGTAGGGGAAGACCCAGAAAGACTTGGAAAGAGGTGATTAGGCAAGACTTAGGACTTCTTGTCCTTACTGAGGATATGACCTTAGATAAAGCATTTGGAGAACTATGATTAGAGTAGCGGGATTGGTGCCTTGTGCCAGAGGGTGTTGTTCTTCTTGTATGCTCTATATGTCTTATTTGCTTGGTGCTTTCCTATTGGCCTGCAGTACTTCTCCTTCGTTAACTTTAATATGTTTTTTTGGCTTTGGTGCTAGGTGCTTTATCTGTGTTGTAGTTGTGTTTTCTCTGCTTTATGTATCTATTGTGATCCTTTTATATGTGCTGCTTGAGTCGGGGTCTAATGGTGTGGTATTATTGCCTATGGTCGTTTCAGGTCCGGACCACTAAAAGATGGTACAGTACATAAACACTTTCCGTCCCTAATCAAATCCTAATTAGCTTGATTTGTTCATCAATAAAAAGGTTTGCTTTGATGTGAAACTTGTAAAGACTATTCTACATAGAATCTTCATTCAATGAGCTAGCTGGTTTATAAATGTAAATATAAGTGATTATTATCTATTCTCTCTAACCCAATTTAATATAGTTTGTGACGGTTTACGATATTTTGTTTTAATTCAATTTAGTTTAACATTGGTGTGAAATTTAAAAATATATTTATTACTTTGTTTGAGCTCGGGGGTTTTTTGGAAGGCACATTCTTTCGTGGACCTAAGGTCTATTGTCATTATACGGATGTTAGTGCATTTGTAGTATAAAAGAAGTGGGTGTTTTCAAAAAAAAATATCTACACGCAAGCTATAAAAATGTGCGAAGATCTACATTTTTAGATGTAAATTTTGGGACCATGTAAGCATCACTTTTCTTGGAAAAGTCTCTCTACTATTGAGTAGGGGCAAGGTCTGCGTGCACACCCTACTCAGACCAGACTTTCGTGAAATCTAACGGGTTTGTTGTTCGTGTTGTATATGGAGTATTTAATATTTCCTCCATAGGTTAAATTTTATTCGCTTTCTTTAAATATTTTTTTACTTTTTGATAAACTAATATAGTCATGTTTCATCTTGTTTCAAAGACTTTTAGATGTGGTTTTTAAATATAAAATTATATATTTAAATTCCACCTCAATTGTTAAATAAATTATATAAAAAATAATTTTAGTTAAATATCGTAAAGTAAAATAGGTACTACAAAATAGGACGGAGAGAATAAAAATAAAATTTCTATATTTAAAAAAAATTACATTTCAAATCTATTTTGTCGTCAAATGATCGGATGGTAATGGCATGGCATGCATGCAGCAGGGAACGTAGCGAAGAAATTAAGGCTGCAAATATATGGTATGTTGCTAAAGTAACTCATCTGTTTGTCATTTTAAGTGTTTTGTTCGTCAAAACGTCACAAATGATCCCACAATAATTATTACTCCATTGTCCATTTATGTATCACTTCGATTCATCGAACGATGTTCGTCTTCCAAGAAGATATTTTCCACAATATAATTCAAATTTTGTATATTTGAAAATTACTTGATTCGAAATAAATTTTATACCTCATTTAGACGCGTCTGTCTATAACGTTTCATCGTTCCTTACTCTAAATCAGCGGTCACTCAGCGTCACATCAACTCTAACTGTACTCACCATCTCACTCACTTCAATTCATCACACCCGTAGTGCCTCACTTTAACTGTGATGGTTACTCCATTAATTTTTACTCCCTCCGTCCCTTAAACTCTTTCGCCTTTCTTTTTTTCTTGTCCCACGTACTAACTCTCTCCCTTATCTATTAAAAAACTACATTTACCTTTTACTTTTTTATACACCACTTATTAGATCATACCTTTTTACTAATAATCTATCCATCATATCTTACTTTTACCCATCACATCAAGTATTTTTAGAAAGTCAACACTAAAATATCCCTCCCTTAATTTCCCAAAAATTCAATAAGGGAACGATTTTAAGGATGGAGGGAGTATCTTATATTTACCTATTTTTGTTCAAATTAAATATGATATTTTAAAATAAAAATAAAAATTTATCATTTTTCCATTTTTCTATTTCGGAATATTTTTGTGTGTTTTATTTTAAATGTTTTTAATATTTCCGCTTTTATATATATATATATATATATATATATATATATATATATATATATATATATATCCGATGTAAAAACTCTTTTTTATCAATTATTTATATCTTTTGCATCAGTTGAGTTGTTTTAATAACTGATGCAATTGATCATGAGGCAGTCTATTCACTTATTTTTGTAGTACTGTTATATTTTTATAATTTATTAGGGAGCATTTAATTTTGTACAAACTAAAAATAAAATTGAATGCAAAATAATTATCCAAGCATATTATACCACTATTCCAAAGTTTTTTGAGAAAGTCAAATCAAGCATTAAGCATGTAGTAGACGAAGCTAGTGATGCACTTGATACATTACATGCATGCATGCATACAACTACGTACGTACACATTATTAATTCGCCTCCTAGATATAGCTACTAGCAGCTAGCTAGAGGTGAAGAGATGTATCAACACCACAATAATCACTATCATCATGATGCTCATGTTTGATGCTCATCATAACCCAATTATTACCATGAACACTAGTACGCGCCGCCGGGTGCGTTGGCCCTCCGGGGCGGAAACCGCCCACCGGAGAGTCGGCCCCCGGCCAAAGGGAGAGAGAAATTTTAGACGATGGCTTGGCGACCGCGGCCCCCGGAAACAGTAACAATTCAGCGTTGACAGTATGCTTGTTTGCCGTCGGCGGCGTGGGCCCATAGTGATGTTGATAATAAGACAAAGGCGACGATGATGATGATGAGAGTGTTTTCATCATCAGGAGCTCTCTCTCCTCCCTAATCTCCTTTGCCCTCTCCAGCTGCCTGAATCTTTCTTGAAGCATGGCTATGGAGGAATGATGATGACTATCAAGTGCTATTTGATTATCACCTCCTCTTCTTCCCATTTGTGTCATCCCAAGCAATAATTATAACAACTATTGGTATGATATTATATATTTGAAATATATATGTCTTCTTCTCTTTTTGTTGGTGTTTTTTAAAAAAAATATAGAGTGGGCTTTTGTAATTAAATCTTTTTCTTAATTTTGGATGATAGTTGTTGTAATAATATATAATTAAGCAAAAGCAGAAATGGGTGGCTATATTTATATGGAATGTGTATGGGGGTATACTGGTAATTTCACATTCCGGACATGCTTGATATTTAATTACATGGTCTATGCAATAGAAATGATATATGGTAAGCGCCAAGAAAAAAAGTCCAAGAAGAAAAGAGTTGGGAAGGCAATCTAGGAATTGATTGAAGTACTTTGTTTGAATGGGTTGAGATTCTACTCTTAGGTGGCCACCCACCCTAGCTACTAGCTACTATATTGCTTCTAAAACATTCTCCTCGTTTCTGTTTATGAGGTTTGACCGATTATAGATTAATTAATTTGATTGTAAGTGTAAAATTAAAAAAAACTTATATACGGAGTATTTAAAAACTACATTAAAATTTCTACAAAACAAGAGGTGACAAGACTATATTATTTTATCAAATAACAAGAAAAGAAAATAAGTAAAGAAAGTGATTAAAGTTTGACCGTGTAGATACTAACTGGAAGAACGTTTTAGGACATAGATTACTCTCTCTGTGTGAAAATGTTCTTCCCCTACAATATTTATAAAATCAAATTTCATTCACTTTATTTTAATTTGTAGTACTCATTTCATAATATAAGATATCAATATCACTTCTTGTTTTGTAGAAATTATAATATATTTTTTAAATATATACATATTTTTTAAATTTTACATCCATGATCAAATAAATTAAATCGAAAATACAGTCGTTCAAGTCTCGTAATGCATAATGGAAAGAATATTTCGGGATGGAGGGGGTAGTGTAATAGTTCTAAGGTCCACATGTGAGATGTAGTCATTTTCATAAAAAAAGTGTATGGGCTTACAAATAAATTTTTCTTTTTTACAAAATCAATTTTTTAATGTTTAAGTACTAATTTGAGGTTCATATAATAGTGTTTTGAATTAAGGACCACATAATATTTTGCTATTAGTGTATTATTTAATATGTCCCAAATTAAATTCTCATTTTGACTTTCAGCAAGATTAAGAAAAAGCAACATTCTTTAGTTGTGGTTGTTGCAAATTAGAAAATATGTAAGAAAAGAAGGTATATATGATTAACCATGTAAATAATAATTTAGAAATTAATGTTATCCATACATACTTTTGTTACCACATACACTCTAGACTTGACATTCCACGTTTTAGATTACGAAGTTTTAAGTGAAATTTGCACGAATAGGACTAAAACATAAGTCATTTTCCAATGTAGGACTTAAACTTTTCTATTTCATAAATAGGACTTAATAATGACTAGTGAAAAGAATAATGTCCAAATGATGTTGGACATTTAGTTGAATAATGACTAATAAATAATGACCAATGGTCTTACATTGGAAAATAAAAATATATAGTCCTACATTGAAAAAATCATTATGTTTTAGTCCTATTTAGGTAAATTACCCTTTCAAATCTAGAATATGTAAATTTTTTTCTTAAATATAATATACTATACACTGTAAGTTTTGAAATTATAATTTCTGTAATTGTCTTAGTATTTTTGTTTAAGTCATTCTTACAAAAAATTTATTTTTAAAGCGGTGAATAAAATATAATTTACATTTCTAGTTAGTTGAGATTGTATTTCTTTCTATCAAACTCAACATCGCAGTCTTACATTTTTAATAACATTCAACACAATTTTCATTAAATAAATTATGTTTTTTTATTCAGATTACATCTCTAATTTCCAAAATTTTTGAAAATATAATATAATAAATTAAAATTTGAGAATTGAGAATGTAATTCAATGAATTGAAGAACACAATTTAAGAAATGTGAATTGTGTCTGAGATAATAAAAAATGCTAGACTATGATGTTGAGTCGACAAATAATGTGTTATCTCAACAAACTAGAAGTCTTAATTACTTTTAGTCACCATTTTCAAAAGAATATTTTTTGCAAAGGCAACTTAAACAAATTTAAAAGAATATTGTTGAGACCAAAAACAAAAGTTGCATATTTTACAATAACTAAAAACACATTTATCTCTTATAGTTCTTAAATGATGAATGATTTTTGTCCATATAAAAAATATATTAAAATTTCAATTATAATTTTTGTAGAACTTAAAAAGTAAATAAAATCTTGTGTTAAGACAACATAATATCTATTTTGAAATATTTCATATAAATATTAAAAACTTATTTTTTTTATAATGATTGTTTTCATAAATATATTAAGATGACTATGAAATATCCAAAAAAATTGAAAGAATCAATTTTTTAAGGACAAATATTTTTAGTATACTTTTGGTATAATTAAAAGAGATATTTACACTAAATAACAGTAAAACTTAAA